GTTCGCTTGCAAGCCTGGGCCTTGATAATATATCTTTCTGCCAGGCGTAGACGAGCCTTCTGAGTGGCAAGCTGTTGACTTGCCAAATATTGCCGACAAAGGGCCTGCAGCATGATGATCGAGTCCTCAACCTCTAGGAGCATACGATCACGACCTTATCGTAGCGTCATTATCAGATCAAACAATCTTAGTTAGAATTTACATACGTTCGTCCTCTGTTTCCACCTCTTGCTCTTCTTCTTCGTTGATTTCTTTGGCGAGATCTCGTCCAATGTCACCGAAATTTGGCATTGGAACTCCTGCAGCCTTGAGACCTTTCTGTGTTTGCTGTAACTGATCATCGGTAAACTTGAGTCTTCCGACGAGGTTGCCAATGCGTTGTGCCATACCCCGCCGAGACAACAAGTGGGCAAGTGCGTGGATACAATAGACGACTTTAGGAAAGTTCTTCTTATCATATAAATCGGTGACTATGAATATGAAACACTGTGCAGAAGTTGTCAGGCTACATGGCTTAGAATTAAGGCATATACAGACCTCTGGTAGGCCAACTTTGCGCACAAACACCAAGAAATGATTGATATTATCGGTGTGTCTCCATCCCAGTTTGAGTCGGGGATCCTAATCATATATCGTTAGTAATGTATCTGGGAATGATATTCAGACATACATCGAAAATCTTCCGCACAGCGGCTCGATCCCAAACTTGAGCTAGTCGCGCTAGAACAACGCCATTTCGGAGACCTTCGTCCATTTCGACTACTCCAAAGCTAAGTTCTTCGCCAAGACACCCTTCAATCCACTGCTGAGCCTCTCCGATGTGACACAGGTACTCATACGTCTGAATCATATGACGCTGTACATCAGCCCATAGACCAGAAGCTGGTCTTGTCTTGAGCGGCGTTGTGGGCGCTGAAAAGGTTGCTCCGCTTCGTGATAAACGTACTCGGCCGGGAACCCCAGCAACGTCTTCACCTGAGGTCAGGGTAGGCATGTTATGTTCTTGGGACGAAGAAGGAGAATGAGTCGCAACAGGACTTCGTGGGCTAGTAGGCAGCTTCTGGGAGTCCCACTGGGTGGGTGCACTTGGAGCGCGTATTCTCCTCTCGTTTCCACTGATGCCGTTAAGCTTATCGGCAGCGGCCTGGCGGGCAGATGTACGCATCTTGTCGTCAAACTCGTCGAATCTTTTTATGGGCCCTTTATCTTCCATAGGTGGTTCTGGTAGAGGCTTGGACTTCGGCTTATCTTCCTCTGGCTCTGAGGCATTACCGTCACCGCTAGCTATTCGAGGCATATGCCTGCCTAGTCGACGTCCAGACGTCAGAGACTCGTTGTATTTCTTTGCACTACGCCGCTGTAGCATGAATGAGCTCTTGTACTCCGAGGCAGGAGTTGCAGGCGTCTGCGGCTGAGCGGTCTCAGTTGACGCATTCGACGACCCTGTTGACGATCCGGTAAGTGAGGGTGCTACTGATTCCGATGAGCGCCATGATTTGTGAGATGGGCCTTGGTGTGAGTCTGGTTGAGGCGCCTGAGCCGATTGCACTGACCCTGGTAAAGTGCTGCGTGGTGTTGAAGGTACATTGGACTCGAGAGGAGGGCTTGTGGAGGTCACGGCTGATGACGAAGATGTTGTAGGATTGTAGGTGGTATAATCTAAAGGAGTTGAAAGTGTATGTCGCTTCGAAGGAGTGTCAACCTTAGATGGAGGCGTCGGTGGCAGGCCCGTTTCTGGGTGCGGTCTACTTAAATCAACAGAACGTCGATGGATATGGTGACTAGTAGGAGGTGAATCACTACTAGAAGGGGTTGAAGGGTTCTCAGCAAGATTGGCTCGCGCTCGTTCTTCCCAAAGCGCCGCTCTAGATTGGACCATATCAACACTCTGACCAGTTCTATGAGTTGGAATCCATTTTCGAGCACTTGTAGAACCAGCAGGAGGACTGAGGATCGATGGAGGTCGTTGGTTCAGGGAGGTAGCTCGAGACAACGACGCCGGGCCAGAGCTACCCTCGAGTAATCGTTGATGATATCCGAATGTTCCGGATGATCTGGATCCTGTGGATGAAACCGAGTCGGAACGATGCATGGCGTCAACGGATTCTCAGCCACAGGGTGGCAACCCAAGTGTTGTGAGTGTGAGGCTGGGAACAAACACTCGGTCTAAAAATTTCGGAACCTTATTCAGTCAGCAAACTAAGGCTGAAGGGTGAGGATTATGCCGCGTTTATATCCAAAATATCTCTTTCTTAACTACAGATCTCGTGGAGGCAGGTGGGGGCCACATTGCTTAAAAAAGCGGCCTAAGGCCAGCTTTTTGAACTTCACCCACAAAGTTGTCGTCAAATCAACCGGTCGCTGTTTCATCCCAACCTAACGTTCTTGTTCCCGTTCAGCTCGAAAACTCTCTAGTTCATCGTTATGGCTGATACCGCTAATGCTTCCACTGCTCCTGTTGACGCTGGCACCGTCCCCACGCCAGGTGACGAACAGCCAGGCCACAAGGTAGGTTTAATTTGCTTCCACTGCCGTAGCATCTCTTTTTACAGAACCTAACGCGCGTCCCAGGTCTTCACTGGTAACCTAGCGTACACCACCACTGAAGAAGGTCTCAGGGCTTTCTTTAGTCCCGTAGCAGATGACATGTGAGTCTGATGCTCCCTGATCCTTGTTTCTAACTCTGATAAACTTTGCTAACGTGATAATAGTCTTTCCGTGCAACTCATCTACCGTGGAAGACGCCCTGCAGGCTATGGCTTCGTTGCCTTCAACACTGCCGACGCTGCCTCTAAGGCCGCAGAGCTCCTCAACAAGAAAGAGCTCGACGGTCGTACCCTTATAGTCGAAGTCGCGAAGCCTACGGACCAGAAGCAGAAAAAGGAGAAGCATTCCCCAAAGAGACGTTCTAGCAAGAAAATCAAGCCTGTCAATGGTGAGGCCAACACGAACGGCGTCACTGATGCCAAAGAGAGTACCGAAAACGCTGCAACCAACGAGACTCAAGAAGGTTCTCCCAAGCCCAAGAAGAAGCGCAACACGGTAAGTTTTTCTCTATACAAAAATTTGATGCCCGGTTGTTAATCTCGCTCCCGTCCTTTTAATAGCGCAAGACCAAAAAGCCGAAGACTGCTGCTAAGGAAGGTGATGCTACCACTGCACCTGTTGATGGCACCGTCGATGCACCCACCACGGCTGAGTCCAAACCGAAAAAGGCTAAGACTCCGAAGGCCCCCAAGGCTCCCAGGCCCCCAAGGCCAGTTCGCCCCGTCGGCGAGGCCCCTGAAGGTGAACCATCCAAGACTATGCTCTTCGTTGCCAACCTAGGCTTCTCCGTCGACGATGCCGGCCTCTCCGATCTCTTCACGTCCGCTGGTATCACTGTTGTCACTGCCCGTGTCGTTCGTCGCCGCTGGGGTCATCCCCGCCGCTCCAAGGGCTATGGCTTCGTCGACGTTGGATCTGAAGACGAGCAGAAGAAGGCACTCGAGCTCCTCCAAGGAAAGGAAGTTGGAGGTAGGGAAATCGCAGTCAAGATCGCCGTTAATGCCCAAGAAAAGGAAGAAGAAGAGGTTGCCGCTGCCCAAGATGTCCCGTCTTTGGTCGCCGCGGCTGCTTAAGCCCGTTCCTCATAATGTCGTCTCGACTCGGTGGTCTAATTCAATATGATCCTATTGAACTGGGCTCATCGGTCGTATCCCATATCAAAGTTTTCAGTCGACTAATTTCATAATTTCTGTCACGACCCCTTTGGAGCCATGATTCACCCTTTCGATTGCTCCCCTGCCTTCCTTCTTTTCCAGATTCTTATCATTGCCGTCGTCGGTCTGTCTCTTTCCCAATACTGGGCTCTTGGCTGGTCACACGCAACGTTACGATCTGTTGATTACTCTTCATTATCGATGTTTGTGCAAGACTCGTGCTTCATTCAGTCTGCCCCCATTTTTTTCTCTGTAGCCACTACTTGATTGTATCTGGCAATAGAGATTATTCACACGAGAATAGCGTCCTATTGGTTCTAAGAGATCACAAGACACGTAAGCAGGCATCGACCCGACGGCATAGGGCGACGGCAAAGGACGACACCAAAGCTGCTGAGCATACTTAGGCTTCTATCTTGCTTCAGTATCGGACGTCCGGTAATGTTCGACCACTTGTTATTGGCAGTACCCATATGGGCGATTAGGATATAAGAGATTGAGTTTGGTGGGTGGTTTGCTTCATATTGGAATACTATCAATCCCCTCTGAACCTCGCTACGATGTCGAATGAAAAGCCTAAAATGACCTATGGTATGAAACCAAGGGCAATAGACCCCCATATGCTAACCTTATCTTGTTCTAGTCCGATTGGGCAAGTCAGGTCTCAAGATATCCCGCATCATTCTAGGGTGCATGACCTATGGCAAGAAATCATGGGAAGGATGGGTGATTGAGGAGGAAGAGGGTATCGCACAAATTAAAGAAGCCTTTGCGGCTGGTATTAATGTACAGTCCTTCCACGCTGTCCCTCACCTCGTTCACTCAT